GATTGGGTAGTATCCTTCAAGTGGGTGGCGAAGAGCCAGTCGGGCCTATGTCATGAAGGTTTCTCCGACCGCTTAATGGTTTGCTGCTTGACTAGCCTAGGGAAATGTTAATAAAGGTAAAGTAAATTTTTTTAATGATATGGGGCACAAAATAACTGGTGTCTTTGTAAATGTTATTTTGTTTTTAAATATAAAACTTCTACTAGTCTTTAAAACATGTACTGTTCCTTTTTGGTTTTTTTTTGTTGTTTGTTTTGTTTTTTTGTTTGTTTTTCCCCCTTTTGTACTGAGCTCAGTTAGACTAATACTATAATGTTAAAAAATGGAATTTTCCTGAGCATTTTGCTTAAAAGCAATATGCTATTTGCTTATTTCGTGCCCTGGCATAATTTTTGAACTGATAGAATACAAGTGTGGTATACGCCATGTTTGTACTTTATCTAACAACTTCTCTTTCAGTAGTCTTGTTTTTATACCATGTGGTTGTTTGTGTGTCACTTTGCCCTTTCTCTCCTTAACATAATTGTCTTGTGTTAAGGATCTCAAAGATTTCATGAGGCAAGCTGGGGAAGTAACCTTTGCGGATGCACATCGACCTAAACTAAATGAAGGGTGAGTATGCACTGGAGTTGAGGGCCTTTAATTACCTTGGGAATTTCATTGTGACATTGTTAGCATTTTAAAGTATGTGTGTGCTGCTTGATTGTGGTAGTTTTGCATTTGGCAGTTTTGCGAGACTGGTTTTATCCAAGGGGTGGTTGATCTGCCATTTTAGTACGTACACTGTTGCACATTTGACAATAAATGGAAGACACAAACAGTTGAATGCTTTAGAACCCTGCTGTACTATATATATATATATATATAGTACATATATATATATCACCAATACTGGAATGAGCAGGGAATAGACTTGATGCTTGTCTTAATCTGTGTAGACAGTTTGTCTGCAAGGCTATTGGGTATATGAGTTTTTAAAGGCATTTTTCCCTCCCATTTTAGGGTAGTTGAGTTTGCCTCTTATGGTGACTTAAAGAATGCTATAGAAAAACTTTCTGGAAAGGAAATTAACGGGAGAAAAATCAAATTAATTGAAGGCAGCAAAAGGCACAGGTACCCTTTTATCAATACTTTTAAACCAAAAGTTTTATTTAACTGACTTTTAGAGCCTTGTCATACAGCTTGATTTCCTTTTTTTCTCCTTCCTCCCCATTTTTCATAGCAGGTCAAGAAGCAGGTCACGATCTCGGACCAGGAGTTCCTCTAGGTCCCGTAGCCGATCTCGTTCACGTAGGAGCAAGTCTTATAGCCGCTCAAGAAGCCGGAGCCGGAGCAGGAGCAAGTCCCGTTCTGGTAGTAGGTCTCCTGTGCCTGAGAAAAGCCAGAAACGTGGTTCTTCAAGTAGATCTAAGTCTCCAGCATCCGTGGATCGCCAGAGGTCCCGATCTCGATCCAGGTCCAGATCAGTTGACAGTGGCAATTAAACTGTAGATAACTTGCCCTGGGGACCTTTTTTTTTTTTTTTTTTTTAAAGCAAAACAAAAAACAAATTCCCAAAAAAAAAAACCATACTTGCTAAAACTTCTGGTAAGTATGTGCTTTTCTGTGGGGTGGGGTTTGGAGGGGGGTTGGGCTGGATTCTTTGTAGATGTGGACCACCAAGGGGTTGTTGAAAACTAATTGTATTAAATGTCTTTTGATAAGCCTTCTGCTCACACTTTTGTGACTGTCTGAAGTATATAGTTTGTGTATATTGACAGAGCTCTTTTATAACTAAAGCATTTAATTTTTTGTACTAGAAAAATTTTTGAACATTTTAGTTCATTGTTCAGATATGTTAAGATTAGTTTAATTACTCAATTAAACTAATAGCTTTGGACACTTTAAAAGAGCTCTAAATTTGCTTGTATATAAAGGCTTAATATGAGTTTTCCTTGTTAGGGTCAAGGGTGCCTTCTCACCCATTAACAGCTGTAGGACAGACATTAAAACAGCTGTTTGTTATTGATAATAAAATATATCAAGTATTATGTAATTGCTTTTGGCGTTTTTCTCTCAAGTCCTGTGTGGTTTATTATTCCATTCTGTGTATTCAAGTTAAAAATTGCACATGAAGTAGTGTGTGGCCTTTTAAGTTTTTTTTTTTTGGGGGGGGGCTACATTTGAAGTTAGTGAAAGAGGGGCAGGGCTAAGGAGTCAGTGAACTATTAAACTGACAACTAAGTTGAGTGACATTAACCTTATTTCTGTTACTTCCATGCTTCCTGTTGCCACCTGACTTGTTTTGCCATCAGGTTACTTACCCTAAAAGCAGAAAGGTTAGGGCTTTGGTAAACACATAATAGCCAGTCTTGGGTTTCTTGACAGATGTCACACATTTGGGATAGTCATGGTATAATTCTCAAGAGATTGAGTTTAAGGGATTTTCATGTGCTGGTTTTAGTTCTGTGATAAGTGACTATATGCATGTTTTACTTTGTTTAGATAGGTTTCTCTGTGTAACCCTGGCTGTCCTGGAACTTGCTTTGTAGATCAGGCTGGCCTGTGCTGCTCTTCGTTACTGGGATCAGAGGCATGTGCCACCACTGCTTGGCTAATACATGACTTAATGGGAAATTAAAACAAAACAACTGGTCGTCTTAACCAGTTTGTGTGTACCACTTGTATTTCTGGTGTCCAAGGGAGTCAAGGTGTTTCAGAATTTGAATTCAAGACAGTTAGGAGCTGCTGTGTGGTTGCTGGGAATCAAACTCCATGTCCTCTAGAAGAACATCATGTCCTCATCCTGAGCCATCTCTAGCTGAGTTCCATACCTTTAGGTCTATTCCCATACCATTCAATCACGTCTATCACTGTGATAGTGAGAGAGCTGCCCTGTCAGTAAGAAATGAATTTTATTTAGAGTCCTCAAAACTGTATTAACACTTTTAGGTGTTTTTCAAAGGACAAGTGTTAACTAGGATTTCTCTTTTTAAAGATTTGTTTGTTTTTATGTATATGAGTGCTCTTTCTGCATGTATGACTTTATACCAGAAGAGTGGACCAGATCACATGGATGGTTGTGAGCCATCATGTGGTTGATGGGAATTGAACTCAGGCCTCCTGGAGGAGCAGCCAGTGTTTTTTAACCTCTGAGCCATCACTACAGCTGCCTGGATCCAGAATTTCTGGTTCCAGTGATCTCTTACTTAGGATTAGATTTATTAGACTTAATATCCTGCCTTGTTGAATAGAAGTAGAAAAGTTTGTTTGCTTCCTTACTCAAAGTGGGAGTTTGGTTGGGAGTAGGAGTTGGCATTTGGGAGTAGTTTTGGGAAGGTTGAGAGCTTGTTAGGAAGGCTGACTACTTGGTGGTCTAGTAAGAGTGGCCATGAAGAACAGCTGATCTTAACAGCAGCCTAGATCTAGGACTAGTAGTGTGCTTGTTTACTTTGGAACTGTTGTAGCACTGGCAGAACCTAGCATTCTCTTCATTGGCCATCTCTCCTGCCCTTTTGTGGGAACTGTATCAGGTTGAATGAAGTTTTATGTTGAACACTTAAGACCTGAGATTTGAGAAGTTGGGAAACTTGAGAGTCTTTGGCACAAGGTTTCACTGTGTGGGCCTGGCTGGCTGCTCTCAGTATGTGCTGCGCTTAAACTCAGATGCACCTGCCACTGATTGAGTGCTGTGATTTAAAATGTGTCCTACAGCCTTAGATTGGTATTGTGTTTTTTCCTTTCATCTACTTCTGGATAGCTTCATGTCTCAGTTCTTCTTCCTTGCCTGAATGCTAGATTATTTTTTATATTAGTTATCATCTTGCATAGTGACAGCTGGGTGTTAGAAAAGTCATTGAACAGATGAACCCCAAAATGTCACAGAAATGTTTTGTGGTGAGAGTTGATATTGGCTTATGTACTCTAGGCTGGCTTTCAACTGTGTACCTGATGGCCTCAATTTGTCATTCTTATGTGCTTCCTAATTGCTGGTGTTAAGACTGCTTGTTATGTAGCTGTGGCTTGTTTGGAACTGTAGCCTAGGCTGACCTCAAGCCTGAGGCAAACCACCTGCTGCCTTTGCAGACATGAACACATGCTTTCAAGAGATAATGCCATTGTGCTTTTTAAAAAACATGTAAAGATGCCTGATCCCAATGGTCATTATTGCTGTGGTCCTGTGGATGCCTGTCAGTTTTGTACCTTTGCCAAACAGGTACCCTAATCTGTTGTACCTGATCACTGGTAAGAAATACAAAAGTAGCTAATCATGTTCAACTGTATGCAGTAGTTCATCTTTGTTTTTTGACATGTGAGCAAAATGTATAGGTATAGAGGAAATAAGGGTTCGAATGTTTTTCTGTATAATAGTACTTACCCAAGTTTTCTGAATGCCTGAAGCCACTGACAGGTTAAACTGGTGGAGTGGTAGGAAGTGTAGTTGTGCTGGCTTGTTTCTTGGCTGCTTTAATTAAGAATTTCTCTTCTGATAGTTGAAACCTTTTCCTTGTGGTAGTGAGTGGCAATTTTGTCTTGTTAAATTGCTTTTGTGTCTTGTTTTTCAAGACAGGGTTTCTCTGTGTAATAGCTCTGTTCGGCACATTGTTTATAGGCTGGCCTGGAACTCACTCGAGACTGCCTGCCTGGTGCCTCCCGAGTGCTGGGATTAAAGGTATATGCCAACACTGCCTTTATATACCTGGTATTGACTTGAACTTGAACCCAGGCCATGTGGCAAAGGAAAATGAATTAAGATTGGAAATTTCATAAGTTAGAGAACTATTAGTATTATAGTTTATTTCCTTTTGATTACTTGAAACAAGTTGGGTATGTTTAATGAAAAAAAAAAACCCATGTTTATATCACTGCTGTAGAGTGAGCAGAGGTGAGTGCAGGTTTGCTTCAGCCTTAAGAGTTCATAACTACTGAAGAGATCTTTGGTTTGATGGTCATACCTTAAGGTTGACTTTGAGTTTCTGAGCATTGAAATTATAAACATGAACAGCTTTCCTTGGTTCTTGTTTATTTTGAACAAATAGCAAATTCCATGTTGGGGATAGATGAGGGTTCCTGGGTAGATTGCCCTTCTAGCTCAGGCTTTGGCTTGATAATTCTGTGAGTTTGCTGGAAGTGCTATAGAAACATTCAGGAAAGCTTGGTGTTCATTTCTTTCTAGTTTTTCACATAGGCATTCTAAATTGCCACCTGACCAGAATCCAGGCCATTGGGAGGGCTATGTTGTATAGAAGGAATATTCCCATTGTGGGTGCCTTTTTTTTCCAGAGTCCCTGGAGTAGCATCTTCAGTTGCAGCTGCCTTGTAGATCACTTTGGTTTTTTTCTCTGTGAAGTTAAAATGGAGAACAAGTAAGTAATAAATACTGTGGTGGTTTGAAAGAATGGAACTGTTGGGCCTTGTTGGTGTGTCAGTTGTTGGGTGGGCTGTTAAAAAGCCTCACCATTGCTTGTTAGCCTGTCTGCCTGCTTGTGGATCAGGATGCTTAGTTACTGCTCTAGTGCAATACCTGCTGCCATGCTCCCTGCCATGATGATTGTGAACTCTGAGCTCCCAATAAACCCTTCTATAAGTTGTCTTGGTCTGGTGTCTAGTATCAGCGATAGAACGTAACTAAGACAAACACAAAACTTGTTCAAATACAAAACAAGACTCCAGAGGGTGTGCGTCATATCTAGAATCTCAACCCTTTCAGAATGTATTAATTAGCTCTTAGTAATAAGATTACTAATAATAAGGATTATTACTTAATAATAAGGATTTTCATCGCTCTGTAACAATTCATACAATAAAGCAGTAGAGAGAAAAGGTGGGTTTGGTTGGATAAGTAGTAATGACTTAAATTCTGAAGGAAGGGAAGGCAGAAAGGATCTTCTTTCAAACCACCACAGTATTTATTACTTACTTGTTTTGAATCTGTCTTGAGATGCAAATCACAGTTCCTGTTGAGCTTTTTGTTTAAAAGGCATTCATGAAGGATCTGGGGGTGTAACTCAGTGGGGGAATGCTTTCCTAGCATGCCAAGTCTTGGGTTTGATTAACATTATAAAAAAGATATGCCTGGACATGGTACATGGTATTTGATCGCTTAGAGGCTGGAGAATCTCCAGTTTGAGGCTATCCTGAACTACATACAGAAAACAAAAGATGGAGGTACAGTACAGTATTTATACTTTGTACATATTACTCAGTTAAATATTCAGTGTCAAAAAAAATGGTTAGAGTACACTGGCTGGTGAGGACTTCGCAGGTGAAAGTGCTCAATGCTAAGCCAGTTTGAACCCTTGAAATCCACATGGAAAGAATTTACTCAGGAGTTCTGATTGCATGGGTCTTTGCATGTACTCACACAAAGGTGCCACTTTGTTTTTACACATGTACGCCCTTGCACTGTATGCAGTATCAATGGAGGCCAGAAGAGGGCATCCACTGCGCCTTGTGGGTCCACTGGAGGAGCAACCATGTGTTAAACTGCTGAGCCATCTCTCCAACCACTCAGAAGCACTTTGAGGGAGGGCCAGGCTTTTGAGGCTGAATTTTTTTTTTTTTTTGAGGCTGAATTATGTTCTGATTATTATAAACTTGCCCTGGCACACATTTTATGAAGAGTGCTCAAAGCCATGTGGTGGTGGAGCAAGCACACCTTTAATCTCAGTATCCCGGGTAGATGAATCTCGAGTTCGAGGCAAACTTAAGTCTGTTGAGTAAGTTCTGGGTAGCTAAGGCTATACAGAGAAACCAAAGTGCTCTATTCTAAGAAGCTTGTGATTAAATTATTGTGTAACCAGAATGGACTCTTGGAAGTCTGTTGTATTAGAGCTGTCTTATGCTTTCCCTGTGGGGGAAGCAGGATGACCTGGTTACAGAAGACTGGATACTGTATGAATGCTGAAGCTTCCCAAATAAAAATCCAAGATAGTTGTGTATTATTGTAGTCTATTAAGTAGTCTATTCTCAGTTCCCTGAGAAAACTGGATTTTCTCAACTAATGACAGTGCTATTAATGGAAATGACTTTCACTCTATTAAGTCTAGCATGCTTTTAGTGCTACACTGGTTCAGGTCCCTGCTCGGAACCTCTTGTTGGTAGCTCCGGTCCAGTGGTAGTATTCAAAGGGGAGATGATTCAGTACTCACCCTTGGAAGGCTTGATTTTCTCATAGCACCGGAAGGAAACAATGAAGAGCAATGCTTCTGCCAGTTGGAAAATCAGATAGAGAAGAGGAAAGAAGAAAAGTGGTCCAATGACTTCAGGGGGGAAGGTCACATTGAGAATGGTAGAACAGAGTTGGACATTTTGGAATCCTGTTTCCATGCTGATAGTGCGTCTGCACCTGAGGAAGTGGGGAAAAGTGCTTAACAGAAAAGACAGTTGTCAGTTGCTGTGCCTACCCTTACAACTTCTGACACTTTAGATCTACAGCTTCCAGTGTAGGAAGGTGGGAAGAAACAGGAAGTTGAAATACACATAGGTTTGGAAAAAGTCAACCTGACTCCATGCCAATCTATCCCTGGGAAGGATGGGGATGAAATGGCACAGAAAGTTTATAAAAGATTGTGTTGTAGCCAGGTGTTGGTGGCTCATGATTTTAATCCCAGCACTCGGGAGGCAGAGAGGCAGCCAGATCTGAGTTTGAAGAGCCAGGCTAGAGGGGCCCCCACCCCCCCCCCACAAAAAAAAAAAAAACCACCCCAAAAAAAAAAGGGTGATTTCTAAAACCACCAAAAAACCCCAAAAATAAAAAAAAAAAAAAAAAAAAAAAAAAGCTTGTTAGTCCACTAGTTGCACTTTTGACTATACAGCAGGAGATTGAAATGTCGGAGAGAGGCTTCTTATTGTGTCCATTTGTAGCTAACATATCTTTAACTCTAGAACTTATTACCACAAAGCAAATGTCATCCCCACTATGAATCTTTGAAAGCTTTACTTCCCTAATTTTGCTTTCCATTTTGTGGATTGATGCTGAAACCTTGGCATACACAGTAATTTCATCTTTCGCAACATGGCTGCAATAGTGGATTTGAAAATGAGCATCTCTTTGGGTATAAGGTGAGATTCTACTAATACAGTGGTTCTCAACTTGGGGGCTGAGTGACTTCCACAGAGATTGCCTAAGACCATAGGAAAACACATTTCCATTATGATTCATAATCCACATTAAGTTCCGCCAACACAGGCCTCTGATGTTCCCACTGACCCTTAGGTTTATTTATTTGTTTTTTACAGTAGCTGTATTTGTGAGTTGGGTTGCACTATAGCTGAAGACTTGAGCTAGGAGTACAACTCAAAACGTAACTTCCATCCTACATTGTTCTTGTGAGAAGAGCAAGAAGGAAAATTAGCAGTGGCGTTAAAAGCTACCCCAGTGAGAAATTGTCAGGGAGCTCCTCAACACTGGGAGATGGCAGACCTCACTATTACTGCCTTCAGTATTTCTCATTGCCCACAAAGCCCTTGCTCAGTTGGTGCCCTTGACTATATGCCAGGAGTTGCTCTGCCCTTAAGAAAGGCCCTAAGAGACCTACCTTGGACTGAGCTGGAAGAGAGCAGAGAGAACGTAGCCCAGCAGGAAGCCAGAGAAAGGCATCAGGGAGGAGGTGGCCAGTAATGGTGGTGTCATGGCATACGTGATGCTGTTGCCCACGTTGATGACAGACAGGACTGTGACAGCCACACTGAGGCAGAAAGTGATGGCCATCCCTCCCTAGACATGGGGACAAGAAGAGGCCATTAGAAGGGTGGGAGTGGACACAGGAATGGGGAAACACAGGAATAAGCAGAGGTCATTTTTTATGGGGGGTTCCTTATAAGTAGCTAGGGAACTTAAATATTTGCTAATATTTCAATGGCTAAAACACAAGCACAGCCAGCTGCTTTTGACATAGCTCAGAGTGCTGTGAAATTTTCAGTGACTTCTGTGCTATAGCTGCAAAGGGATGAGATTCCTGGTCCCATGAAGCCGATACTTATATTGATGTCTTCAGTCTGTAAACATTTGTACAAGACTCCCTAAAAGTATCTTGGCGCTTTTCTTAGCCTCCATTACAGGGAGAAACCTCATTGTTTTAGGGCAGCAGTTCTCAACTTATGGGTTGTACCCCTCGGGGGGGTGGGGTGGTCAAATGACTCTCAGAGGTTGTCTTAGACCATTGGAAAACAAAGATAATAGTAGCAAAATTGTGAACTAGCAACAAAAAATGGTTGGGGGTCATCACAACATGAGGTGATAAAGGGTTGCAGCATTAGGAAAGTTGAGAGGCACTGTATAGGGTGAACCACACTTGCCAAGTCATTAGAAGCAAAGCTGACAATACAAGGTGGTTAAACCAGGTAGCCTAATGATCTGAAACCCTAAAGAGAAGCCCGCTCACTGTGATCTGGAAACAAGGTGGGAAAGTTCCAGAAATGTGTACTAGCATTATCATAAACTGCAAATCCATCTTGCCCCCTCCAGGTAAGTGGGGGTAGAAAGAAGCACGTTCTGGGCAATGGCATGTTTTTGTCCTAAAGTTAACTTTGTAGTTGTACCTTCTATACACCACTGTGAACCTTTGATAGGGTCTGGTAAAATGACTACTCAGCATTTTCATTATGAAACAAGGATGTAAATTTTCTTCCATGCTCTTTGCAGCATGTTCCAAAATGACAAAAATGTGTAAATTTGTCTTGGCTTTTCATCTTTTGAATAAAGAAATACATAAAAAATTCTTGGTTATCAGTTATTTTGTAATGGCTGCGCTGTGACGTGACTCTAGTTTCCACTTTACTCCTGTGTATGATTACTTTTTTCCTGGCTGTGGTCCTTCTTGGGTGGCCACCTGGAACTTGCTGTGTATAGGAGGCGGACAAGGGTTGAGCAACAGGATGAAATTTCACATTCTTCTAAGGACAAGCAATGACAGGGTAACTTCTGTGACCACAGTGTTCCTTCAGACGTCTGTGAACTTAAATCTTTCCGTGCCATGCTGGAAGTCTGTATGCTTCCCCTTAGTCTCTTCTACCTCGTTAGCCAAGTTTGCCTGTTGCCTTCTGTTCTCTATTTGGCCTCTCCGTACTTATATAAATCCCAACCTGTGTGTCTGGCTCAAGCCTCTCTAAGAAGCCCGACCACTCTGGCTTTCAGTAGTCTTAGAAAACCACCAGACTTACTTGCCTGCTATTGTTGGATTTTTATTTCTTTTGTGTGTTACTTTTTTTACCTTTTTCAAATGACAAACTCTGGAGGCAACAGCAAGCCCTCAAAGTGTATGGCAGAAACTTAAGCAAAGAGGGCTTATAAGTTTAATTTTATTAATTGCAGTGTAAGGTAGGGTGTGTGTGTGTGTCTATCTACTGTGTTAACTTTTTCTCCTAACTTTTCAGAAGTATTTGTGCATATTACAATTCTATAAGGTACACATACCAAGAATGAGGGAAGCCTGCTGTGGTTTGAGTGTGATCGCCACCCACCTCTCCACATGCCCATAGATGCTACTAGGAAGTACTGTGGCCTCAGGGTGGGAGCCTAAAGAAAGGTTCTTAGGTCACTGGGGGCATGTTAATGAAAAGGGATCTCTACTGCATCTTGGAATGTGAGTACCCGATCCAGCATGTGCTCATGCGGTGAACTTGCCCCTTACCAAGTGACCCAGCATCCAACTAGAATTTCTAGTGAGTCAAAGAGCTCTCCTAAGCAGCCTGTGGTGGCAGTTGCTTAGTTACCATGCTTTATTTAAGCAGGGCCCTCAGTTCTTACCTTGATGATGTAGGGAACATACTGTGGCTTTTTGGTCTTGAGGAAGATCCCTATGCTACAAGGAATGAGAACCATGACCAGTGATATCATAATGCCTCCATAGGGCACCTTGTCCTTAAGATCTCCATCATAGATCCCTTTTGTGTAGATGTATAAGAGGAGAGGCATCATGCCCAAGGCAGCAAAGGTGGAGCAGGTGGTCATCACAATGCTGAGTGGGAAATAAGGTAAGAACAAATAAAAAGCCAGTTAGATGTTTGAGTACCTTCTGTGTGCCAGACACTGTTGCATATCTTATGCCACTTTGTTGGGCAGTAAACATGCTATTCTGTGGTGATAATCTTGCTTGTACAAATAAACTGAAGATCAGAGAGAAGGAGCAAGCCATAGCCACACCTTACTTCTTTAGCAGACAGAGTGAGTTCCTGTTTGTTTATACCCTCTTCTCTGCCTGCAGTTTTACTTCCTATTTCTGCCCAGCCATCTCAAAAGATGCTAAATAAACACTAGAAGAGTTTTTTTTTTGTTTTTGTTTTGTGTTTTTTTTTTTTTTTTTTTTTTTTACTTATTCCAAGTTGTACATAGTAAGTGCCTGATAGAGGATACAAGCAAGCACAGACCTGTCCAGTTTCTTCAACCCCATATGCTTTATTGAAGAAGGTGCCATTCCAATGTAAATAAAACCACCTTTTCTTAATTGATGATTGAGTTGGAGGGCCCACCTCACTATGCATGCCAGCTCTGGGCAGATGGTCCTGGATTCTTCAAAAAGACTGAGCAAGCCATGAGGAGCAACTCAGTGTAACATGTACGGTTTTTCCGCCTGCCGCCGCGCATCAACTCAGTAAGCAGCATACCTCCATGGCCTCTGCTTAAGTTCCTTGCTGCAGGTTCTAGCCCTGACTTCCTTCAATGATGGCTGTGATGTGAAAGTGTAAGCAAAATAAACCCCTTACTCCTCCCTCAAGTTGCTTTTGGACATATTACAATATTGAAACCATAATAAAATGGGCACAGAAAGAAATTCAAGATTCAATGTTTAAAAGTTATACTAAAAGTATCACTAAACAAGTTTAGTGGTAAACAGTTAAAAGGATTTTCATCAATAAAAGGAATAAAACAACATTGTGTTATTACCTCTTTTATATGTTGCCCTAGACAGCAAGAGAAATAGGAGTGGATAGGAAGAGAAAATGATTTTTTTGGGTTAAGGATTGATTGATCATAGAGGAAATTTTTCATTATAACAAAAATTAAAAGGGTTCTAAATGAGCAATATAATAAATTGGGATTAAATGATTAATTTTTATTTTACATGCATTGGTGTTTTGTCTGCCTGTTGTCTGTCTGTGTGAGGGTGTTGGATCCCCTGGAACTGGAACTATAGACAGTTGTGAGCTGCAATGTGGGTGGTGGGACTTGAACTCAGGTCCTCTGGAAGTGCAACTAGTGCTCTCAGCTGCTATGCCATCTCTCCATCCCTCAAAAGTTTTTTTCTTTTAAAGATGGCATTTGTAATCAAAATTATAAAATAGTTTGAAATAAATTTCAAGGAGTGACATCTTTACTGAAGAAACTATGGAATAACCCTCTTGTACACTGTAAAAGTTTGTCACTCAAATTGGTTTAAATTGGCCCATAGCCAGGCAGGAAGTATAGGTGGGCAACCAAGCTAAGGATGCTGGGAAGGAGAAGGGCGGAGTCAGGGAAGATGACAGCCACTGAGGAAGCAGGGTGCATAGAAAATGAGGTAACAAACCAAGAACCAACCACACGGCAAAAGATAGATAAGAAACATGGGTTAATTGAAATGTATGAGCTAATTAGTAACAAGCCTGAGCTACTGGCTGAGCATTTATAATTTATATTAAGTCTCCAGTTATTTGGAAAGTGGCTGCTGGTTATTTGGGAACAGGCAGGGAGGAACAGAAACCCGACTACAACATCATAGAAAGGTACGGAGGAAGAGCGTAAGAGCGATTCTATATTCATGGCAGAATGGGATGACGAGATTATAAAGTGGTGAGGTGGTTTGGGAAAGAAATTTCCCCTATGTGCTCATGTAGTTGGTCCTGGATTGGTGGTGCTATTAGGGAAGGTTATAGATCCTTAAGTGGGAGAGATTTGTTGGAAGAAGTATGTTACTAGGGGTGGGCTTGAGGTTGTATAGCCCTGTCCACTTCCTGTTTGCTTTTGCTACTTCCTGTATAAGGATGATTTGATTATCTAACTCCCTGCTCCTATCATGCCTTCCCTACTATCACTCTGGAACTATAAGCGAAAATAGTCTCAAAGCTTGTGTGTAAATGCTGGGGCAGGAGAGACGGCTCAGGGTTAAGAGCACTGGCAGCTTCTGGAGGACCTGGGTTCAATTCCCAGCATCCACCTGCAGCTCACAACCATTTGTAACTCCAGTTCCAGGGTATCTGACTCCCTGGACATCAGGCAGGTATGTGGTTCACAGACATGCAGGTAAAAAGAAAGCTACACACACACACACACACACACACACACACACACACGTATAAGTTCAATGAAAAGTTCATCAAAATTCTAGAAATGTTATAGATTTGAAAGCTGATCCTAAAATTCAAGTGCAAGAGTAGAAAGGTGGAACCCTGTTAACATTTTCATGAAGTGACCTGTATTGTAAAGTCACTGTAATTAAGAAAATGCACTGACAAAAGACAGCCACATTGACCAATGAAAGAGTCCAGATAAAAGCATAACCATATTTGACTAGTAACAGAGGTGGCACCAAGTAGTGTTGGAGGAAAAAAAAAAAATGAACGGTGCTTAATATTCATTCTGATGGAAAATGTAAGATTAGAACACTCATAAAAATAAGTTCTAAGTTGATTTAAGATTTCCATGTGAAGCTAGGTGGTGGTGGTACACACGCCTTTAATCCCAGCACTGGAGAGGCAGAGGCAAGCAGATCTTGAGTTTGAGGCCAGCCTGGTCTACAAAGTGAGTCCTAGGACAGCCAGAGCTGTTACACAGAGAAACCCTGTCTGGAAGAACAAAAACAAACAAACAAACAAACAAAGGCACTTAAAAAAAAAAAAACCAGGTTTCCTGCTTGAGGAAGTGTGAGGTGGAAGAGCTTTGGAGGCTTCCTCTCAGATGATGTGGGAATACCATAATCTCCAGTTCCTGCTCTTACCTCACGTGCTCTCACCTGGGAACGAGGGAGGCCATGGAATGAGGAATGTCTCCCAAGAGCTAAGTGCAGCAAACCACACAGCAGTTTAAATACTCGCAGGAGGTATTTTCCTGACATGCCTAACTCTGCTGGTTAGTTTTGGTGTCAACTTGACACAAACTAGGGTCATCTGGGAAGAAGGAATCTTAATTGGGAAAATGCCCCCATAGAATTGGCTTGCAGAAGTCTGTAGGACATTTTCCTGATTGAGGATTGAGAGGAAGGGCCCAGCTCACTGGTGTGGTGTCACCTGTAGGCTGGTGGTGCTGGGTGCTTGAGAAAAGCTAAGCAAGTCATGAGGAGTGCACTCCTCCATGGCCTCTGCTTCTCTCCCGCTTTGAGTTCCTACCTCGACATCCCTGGACAAAGAACTATAAGCTGCAAGGTAAAACAAACCCCTTTCTCCCCAAGTTGCTTTTGGTCAGGAAGCAAAAACACCAGCTTTCAGAGCAAATTGTCAAATGTATGACCTGTTGATACCAAATTTAAAATATGCAAAGACAGTCAATTATCACATGGTTTCAGAATATCTTGAATGTATAGGGATAGTTTAAAAAGAAAGCAGAGCCGTAGGGGGGGGCATGGGGAGAGACAGTCAGGGGTTAAGAGCACTGGGCTGCTCTTCCAGAGGTCCTGACTTCAATTCCCAGTAACCACATGGTGGCTCGCAACTGTCTGTGATGGGATCTGGTGTGTATGAAAACAGAGCACTCTTGTACATAAGACATGTAAAGAAATAAATCTTTAAAAAGAGTGAGCCAGGGGCTGGAAAAATGGCTTAGTCCTTAAGAATGCTTGCTGTTCTTCCAGAGGACCCACGTTCATTTCCCAGGACCCACACTGGGTGGGTTAACCTCCTGCCACCCCAGCTCCAGGGGTTCTGGAGGCCTCTTCTGGCCTCAGCAGGTGGCCACACATACATAGACACACTCACACACATATTAAAAAAAAAACACAGAGCTAGAGAGCCAGGAATGATGGTGGCAGCTTGTAATCTCGGCAGCCAGGTGGAGCCAGGAAGATCAGAAGTTCAAGGTCACTTTTGGCTACACAGTAAGTTCAACGCCATCCTGGGCTACGCGAGACTCTGTCACAAACAACCTAAAACAAAACAACAACAACATACAAACAAAAGAGTTTTTAAAAATGTTCTTGGTATTGCTGGAGCCACGTCCTGGGAAGTGCTCTCTTTGAGGTGTGGTAGATGGAATGAGATTGAGCAGGGTGTGGTTTCTGTTCAAGCTATTGGTCTCTTTATAAAAGACAAGTTGTGTGTTTGTCTTCTCCTCCTGAGACATCACACTCTGGCTTTGTGTCAGGAGTTCTAGAGTGTGTTCTGGGACGTTGTATGCCTTGTGCCTTAGATGTGTAAGGACCATGTTCCCAGAACCTCAGGCATTTTCCTCTGCAGTCAGAGGAACTGTCAGAGATATCCATTCCCAACCTGCTGGCATCTGTGACTGTTGTGATCCTCAGTTTACCCTGAAGGACCCGGATGGGAGGTGACCTCCAGATTCTAGCTCCTAAGACTGGGACCATTGCAATATTGTGGAATTTGTTTCTAGTTATTAGTGGGATGGCATGTTTGAGTTCCCATTCTTCCTTTCTTGTTTGTTTTTGTTTTGTTCTTGTTTGTTTTTGATTTTCAGGCAGGACCTTATGTAACCTACAATTCCATGTGTAATGGAGGGTGACCTTGAACTCCTGACACCTTCTGCCTTCACCTTCCACGGGCTGGCATTACAGGCCTGTGCCACCCTACCAGGCTTACTTCCAAGTTCTTTTATTTGAGATGGACTCCCAGGTAGCTGGGATGACAGACATGCACCACTGTACCTAGCCTCTTCTTGCTTAAGAATGAGCTCATTGCCCAGGTCCTGCTTTTTGTTTTTTGTTTGTTTGTTTTTTTAATCTGTAAACTGGGAAGGAGTAGAAAGATCAGAGGCACAAGCTGAGGGCACTGAAGTGACGGTCCAGTCCCTCTGATAAAGTGGGAAATGTGTAGGAATCACAATGGCTTCCCGTGTCATAGTGGGGAACTTGTAGGGATCCTGGGGTGGTGTCCACACCTTTTGTCTTCCTGGCCACTGGTCCTGGGCTCTGTTTTGGGACCAGCAGGTTAAAAGGGTGCAGAGGAGTTTGAGGATGGCAAGAGTCAAGGCTATTCCTAACAAGTTCACTTCCTCTAGGTGTTTTCTCTTGCCTATGTGTCTCTGAGAAAGGAACTGTCCTGCCTGGCCGTCTGGTGTCCCCTCAGACTTAATGCATTTGGAAGACAGAAGAACCGTGGGAGGGGGCACTGAGCCCTCTTTTGCTCAGCTCTTAGGAGACTGTTGGAGGTTTCTTGACTTCTGTTCCCTAGCAAGTAAAATGGAACAATAGGAGACCCACCATTTACTTCGTTTTTTAAAAATGTGTCTTTTATTTGTTTACTTTTACATCATGTATATTGGTGTTTTGCCTGGGTGTATGTCTGATCCCTTGGAGCTGGAGTTACAGATACTTGTGAGCTGCCATGTGGGTGCTGGGAATTGAACCCAGGTCTTCTGGAAGAGCAGTCAGTGCTCTTAACCGCTGAGCCATTCTCTGGATCCTCACCATTTACTTCTAACTCTAAGTGAACATAGCTTAAAACGAGGCCTCAAAGTAGACCGTGGAACCACATATGACCCTTAGACACTGCTTGGTTTGTACAGCTTTTTAGGTGCATTTGGATGACTTGATGATGTTTGAAATTTTTGAAAATTTCACCTAAAAATGGAGACTCAATCTTCTTTTGAGAAGCAGAAAGCTTGGGGCTGGAGAGTTGGCTCAGTGGTTAAAAGCACTGGCTGCTCTTCCAGAAGTTCAGGGTTCAAGTCCCAGTATCTACATAGTTAGTGACTCACAACTGTCTATAGCTCCAGTTTCAGGGGATCCAGTGCAATCTTGTGATCTCCGTGGATACCAGGACATGCACACAGTGTCCTTATATACATGCAGGCAAAACACTCAGACATATAAAATAGAAATAAGTATCTTTAGAAAAGAAAGGCAGGAGACTGTGATAATTGCATTCCCCTATGCATGTCTGATCAGAGGGGCCGGTGCCTCTGAGCCTAATGGGCAGCCTCCTCCGCTCACTCAGTCAATGTGGACAGGCTAGCTCACAAGACATGTGAGTAGGTGCACCAGCTCTGCAGCCAGCCAGCCTGTCTAAAGGTGTTAAGTTCTAAGAGTGTTTCCTCATCTGTGAATGTGGTCAGTTACAGCACTCAGTCTTATATGTATCCTCCATGTCAGCTTCTGAAACAAGAATCAGTACAGGGTGTATACAGTGGACAACAAGGGTATTAAGAGAATAAAGTGGGACTTTGTGGGGGGCCGTGGAGATGGCTCAGTGGTTAAGAGCACTGACTGCTCTTCCAGACAACTTGGGTTTGATTCCTAGCATCCACACGGCAGCTCACAACCATCTGCAACTTCAGTTCCAGGGGAATCCAGTGCCCTCTTCTGGCCTCCCTGGGCGGTAAGCTCACGTGTAGTGCACAGAATCATATATGCAGGCAAAACCCATATATAGATGTTTAAATTTCGACTTTGTTGGAAAGAATGCTTAGTGCAAGTTTCTCCCGTCACTATCATTGTTGTAATGCATGTAGTAATTCTCAGGACAACTGGCATTCAAAGTCTGGCAGGGCATGAGGGTAATATCCACACTCAGCCAGTGGGATATGAGGCATGGTTACTATGTATGAGTAGTACAGGCTTGCTTGGGAGGAAAGGACTTTGACAGAAGGTGGCCATATCAACACCCATGGCTGAGTCTGGAACTTGGAACCTGAGGTTGAGCAAGCAGCCGAGCCCAGGAGCCATCCTCTTGAACTCACCACAAGCTGGTAGAGGGGGAGGCCTCTCTCCTCATAGAGCAGCTGATGTTGGAGAGGACTCAGTAGCAGCTACCACTTGGTGAGAATGGGACTCATGGTTACCCTTAAAAGCTCACCCATTGTCTTTCGTACGGTCCCCAACCCCATTCCCATTCTATCCCTTCCACAGCTACACAGATCCCCCCAGAGTGCCCCTTCTCTGACTAGTGTGACTTGAATTTCCTCTGTATCAGAACTAAGGTTTAGCCTGGCTTTCTTGGGACACGTAGGTGTGACAAACCTTGCCCCTCCTCTGAGTTTCACTAGTGTTGCCTCACTAGGAGAGGCTTCTTGGTTAGTTTTCTCTCTAAAGTTCAGCCACAGGCAGGGTGCACATGGACCCAAGCAGATAGGCTCTGGGTTCCCTGCATCACTTGACATTGAACATCTCCACTAAGGACAGATCCAGAGGAGATCTGGCTTAAGCCTGAGGCTTTGCTTCTGCTACTGAGTTCAGGGAAGAGACCTTGCTGATTTTTGGTTGGGATGCTCTGAGCTCAGGCTGTTGTTGGCTTTCTCTCTGCTTGTTAAACTGAGTGGGACCCTGCCTGACCTGGGCAAGTGCTGGGACCTCAGTTCTACCTGAGATGTCTTCCAATGGCAATCTCACTACATCTGACAACAGGACGAAGGTCTCTGACAACTGGGTGAAGGGCCTCAGTATACCTGGGATGCCTAGAAACTGGGGGAGAGCCTTTGGAGTCTCTGCAGGAATTTGAGATGTTCATTTGGTCCCAAGTCACCTTGGTCTCCCTGGAATGTGCAGAGCCCTTTATGCCCCTCCTAGATTTTTAGCTTCAGGGCCAATGCCATGCCATGTTTAGGTGGCTTCAGTTCTCAGGGATTCTGGTTGAAATCTGCATTCCTTTAAATCAATCCTCAAGACACTTTTGGGAGGTCAGGGGTGTCTAAGATGTTTCTGGACCAGTTTGGCACTTTTCACTTGGTACTTAAACCAAAAAGACTCTAGAGCCTGCCCCAACTTAGCATAAAGCTTTGACTATCAACACCAACCTTAATCCAACTCCTACTTCCCCCTTCCCTGGCTCCAGCCCAGATCTTCCCCAGATTATGACGTCTCCACCATATCCCATCCCTCAGTCTTACCTGAGGTTCATGTCCCCCTTCATGGCCAGGGTGAAGAGGTTGGACAGGTTCCCCCCAGGAGAGCAGCCACAGATGAGGATGGCCAGTGCCTCAATTGGTTTCAGGCGGAAGACCTTGCTCAGGACAAAGGCAGTGAGGGGCATGATGCCATACTGGGACAACATGGCAATGACCACCCCTTTGGGCTTCCAGAAGTGAGCCTTGATCTTGCTGAACTCCATGGTGCAGCCGAGTGAGAACATGACGAATAGCAGCATGAGTACCAGGATAACACTCAGCGCCATGTCTGTGGGGCGGTGGCCAAAGCCAGGCGGCAGAGAGAAATTTAAGTGGGCTGAAAAATTGTGTACCTCCATCCTCTGGCACAGGAGGGACCACCCTTGTTCTTTGCTGCCGGCCTTCCTTGCCCACTGCTTGATGAATGTTTTCTTTAGTTGCCTTTCAGGACAGAGTTTCTGGACAAAATGTAGCTGTGGGCAAATAAAGGGTTATGCAATCGGCAGAACCGCTGCTCTGGCCATGGCTCCAAAGGGAGGAGAGCCACAGCCTTATCTCCAGGTCCCCTACCTTATTCAAGTTCCCTGACCTCTGTACCTGCTGGGTGCCACTCATACCCAGCACAGGGCTGATTCTTTCCTCTGCCCTCTGTTTGAGCATGCTTCTCTAGCGTTTCTGAGACTCACCCAGGACCTGCGACAAACCAGGGCTATCTTTTCCTCTGCCCTTCCAGTTCAGTCCCTGTTGTTTGAGGTTGTTTGCCTGGTAAGGTGCCCTCCCCATGAGTCATCATTTGTCCCCAAGTGAAAGGGACTGTGCTACCTTTGGTTCTGGTTCCCTCTCATAGGTAGAGCCCAAGGGCAGCATAGGGACATTTGGTGTTGTCTCCAGGAGAGGATGCTTCTATCGCTTTCCTCCTATGAGACCTTGTTTTGTGTCTATACCTGGACCATATGTGTCCTGCAGGGTTGTGTGTGGGGGGCACAGTGAATCCCTGAAAGGCTTACTTACCTCCAGAGGGAAGAACTTCCTGGAGTGTGGTTGGATTCTTGGGAGACTGGAGACAACGCTGGCTGTGGAGGTGGGCTGGCGCCTGAGGCACCCAAGGTACTTTTGCATGCTGAGCTTGTGTGTCTCAAGTTGGAAGCCAGATTTGAAGCATGCAGCATCAGCAGCATCAAAGAGGTGGGTGTGGCTGTCCTGCACCACACTCCTCCCTCTCAGGCATGGGATAGAGTGCGTCTTTCAGAAGCCGTTTTCTCTTGGCTGGTTGGAGCCCACAGGCTCTGGTAGAGGCCTTGTACATTCCTAATTGCTGAGATCCATGACAAGGCTTATGGTCTTTTGGTTTTGAGATAAGGCCTTACTATGCAGCCCACACTGACTTTGAACCTGTGACATTCCTGCTTCATCCTTTCCCATGCAGGGGTTATGGGTGTGATCTACCACACCTAGTGTGGTTAGGCCACTGTGGGTTGGGGATAGTGGCAGACTTTTGGCTTGGTGTGAGTTCTTGAAAATGAGAGCTCCTTCACATACTACTTTTGTAAGGGTTCCAAGTTTGGTTCCCAGCATCTATGTTAGAAGACTTACAACTATCTGTAACTCCAGCTTCAAAGGATCAGATGGATCTGATGCCCTCTTCTGGCCTTCACAGGCACCCATATGCTAACATGTACACTCCCCCATACGCATATTTAAAATAAATGAGAGAGAGAGATTGACAATAGTATCATAGCCTCTGGAATACTGCATAGATGAGGATTTGAAAATGGTCCATATCACACCCATGACGCAGCTGCTCCATGGAGCTGTGCAGTGCATAGGGTGTTCATTGGCTTGGGTGACATGAGACAGATATTCCTTCCCTTGGGAGAGCCTCTATGTGAATGTTTTCCTGATGTTTGAGTTGGACTGGTCTCAAGAGAAGGGCAGTGCATGTGGATGGTAGCCTTTCTGTGGGAATGATAGCCATCCTGTGGGGATGCTAGCCATCCTGTGGGGATGCTAGCCATCCTGTGGGGGTGCTAGTCATCCTGTGGGGGTGCCAGCCATTCTGTGGGGGTGCCAGCCATTCTGTGGGGGTGCCAGCCATTCTGTGGGGGTGCTAGCCATTCTGTGCAGATGCTAGCCATCCTGTGGGGGTGCTAACCATCCTTTGGGGGATGCTTGTCATCCTGTGGGGGTGCTAGCCATTCTGTGGGAGTGCTAGCCATTTTGTGCAGATGCCAGCCATTCTGTGGGAGTGCTAACCATTCTTTGGTGATGCTAGCCATTCTGGAACATTGAGGGTGGCCTGAAGGAGGCTGCTTTCTCTCTTTGGAGAAAACCAACAAACACAGACATTCCTACTGCTTCCTGGCCACCATGATTGAGTGGTCTGCTTGCCTTGAAAGACTGAAACCTTGGGAACTGTGAGCTGAAATGAACAATTCTTCACTTAAAAGAGAGCTGAGTGCATCCCAGTTTGAGGGGAAAACAGATTGCACCTCTGAATGGGAAACTCCACCTCTGGGTCATCATTCATCACCTGAGGCTCCACCCAGCGTCACACAATTCACAGCAGCTGCATGGAAAGCCCGCCATTGTGGCAGAGGCACATGCAAATCACGCATCTGTTCAATGACCAGGAATACAAAATTTCCAATTGAATGTACTTAGAAGCTAAACGAGTAGCAAAGGCTAACACTTGAAGACTGCATCAGGAAAACGCCAGCACTAGGTAACTAAATTGTAACAGTGATCACACTTTAATCTAGATCCAAATCAAAGATCAGAAAAAAAGGTCACCTGATTACAGCCATCTAATGTAGTAGCTGATGAAAGTCAGCATTACAAATAGATGTTAAAATCTTTGTTTTTTTTTTGTGAGGGGTGGGGGGAGGTTGGTGATTAGGATGTTCACATGGGACAGGGTCTCACCCTACAGATAAATCATTATAGTGGGAAGGTATGTGCTGAGAAACTGGGCAGTTCTGTAACCAGTTTAAATTAGGAGTTACTGATATTGAGGTAGATTCCTGTTACATGTCCCCTATCATATGAAATATAAGATGTCATTACAGGCACAATGTTGAATCCAAGTCTAACTAGTCTTTCAACCCAGCTGGAAACATACATGCTAGAAAAAGAGAAGAAATGAAATATAAAGAAACAGTGAAAGAACTTTAGATTACAGGACATTTAATAAAAATAATTGGAGGCCGAGTGGTGGTGGCACATGCCTTTATTTTCAGCACTTGGGAGGCAGAGGTTAGTGGATCTCTGTGAGTTCAAGGCCAGCCTGGTCCAGGACAGCCAGGGCTATGCAGCAAAACCCTGCCTCAGAAAATCAAAACCATATCAACCAACCAAACAAGTGAATTGGTATGTGCTTTTTAAAAGAGTAAAATGAATCCACTTATTGTTTGTGTGTGTGTGTGTGTGTGCACATGGCATGTGTGTGGAGGCCAGAGGACAACTTCGTGGGGCCAGTTCTCTCTTTTCATCTCTATGTGATTTCCAGGGGTCAACCTCAGGTCATGAAGCTGGTGCATCAAGCGCTTTACCTGCTGACCTCACCTGCCCTTGGCATGCGCTCTTAAAATAGAAAGTAAATGAAAATTAGGGGAGGCCTTTGCTAGAATAAAAGGAATCAAGACATGACCAGATGCAATCTATGAGTGGTTACTGAATTGAAAAAATATCTAAAAACATTTTTAGGGTAACTGTGGGTATTGGAATAATTATGGGTTGTGTATTAGCTGATATGTGTGTAATTCTTGCTATGTAAATATTGGTGTTAATGTCTTAGTATCTCAATGTTTCTGTACTTGCAAACCTTGCATGTTGAAATCTAACCACCACTGTTACAGAAAGTTGGCCCTTCATAAATGGGATTCGTGGCCTTACCCTGGGATCCCATAAGGTGGTCTCATGCCCCCCACCATGTGATCAGCCCTCACCAGATGCCAAATATACCAGGTCCTGAACTTCTCATTCTCCAGAAACTGAAACCATGGCCTCGTACATGAGCCCCACCGTTGAGCTACGTATGTTTCCAACCCCAAGAATAAACATTTTAACTGTGAGGAAAATGTTACTAACATTGGGTAACAGAGGAAAGGAAAGAGAGAAGAAGAAAAATTCACTTAAGCTTTCATTGTTCATTGTGAGAAACAAATAGATAGCTGCTTAATTATAGGAAAATAAAAATATTAATTTAATTACAAAAGTAATAAATAGAACAAGGATTACAATAGTTCAAAAGCTGGAAGTACAAATAGTTCAATAGTAGGATACTTGTCAATGTGCCTGAGACCCCCCCAATGCCATCCTTAGTTGCTGAATAGTTTTATGTCTACTTGGCACAAGCTAGAGTAACTGTGAAAATGGCCTTCATAAGTCATAAGATCTAGCTGTAAGGTATTTTTAAAATCTTTTTATTTTTCTGTTCTAGTACTCACTCTGTAGACCAGGCTGGCCTCAAACTCACAGAGATCTGCCTGCCTCTGCCTCCTAAATAAATGCTGGGATTAAAGGCTCAAGCCACCACCACCCGGCATAAGGCATTTTCTTAAGTAGTGATTGATGGGGAGGGCCTAGGTTCTAGGTTTTATAAGAGAGCAGACTGGAGAAGCCACAAAGAGAAAGTCAGTAAGCAGGACCCCTCCATGGCCTCTTCGTCGGCTCCTGCCTCCAGGTTTCTGCTCTGTATGAGTTTCTGTCCTGGCTTCTTTCAGTGTTGGACTACAGTGTAAAAGTGTAAGTCAAACAAACTCTTTCCTTCCCAACTTGATTTTTGCTCATGGTTTTTCATCACAGAGATTGTAATCCTAACTTAGGCCATGAAGCAGTCAATAAGCCAGTCAAAACTCATAAAAAACAGCAACTAGAAAAACCCTTCTGAAATCTGAGAGTTACTTACAGAAGCTACGATAATAGACCACATAGTGTTAGCTTCCTCAAAGTTACAAAACAGAAGGAGAAACATGCTATTAATGAGACAAAATTAAGGCTAAGGTGCCTGTCCTATCAATAGATGCTGAAGTAGGCTTTAACTCACATGTCAAGAGAAAACAGATATATAGAATGTATCTAAATGATACTTTCTTTTATCCTGGGATCAAGCAATTGACCATTTAAGAGAAAGATTGTTTGTACATGTACATGTGTGTGTGAAACCCAGATTTTTTTGTTTTGTTTTGAGATAAAGAGTCTTATGATATAGCCCTGGTTAGCCTAGATCTCATTACCTACTCCAGGCTAGCCTTGAACTCATAGAGATCCACCTGCCTCTTATATGCTGGAATTAAAGGCATGAGCCACCACACTTTTTCAAAACATTTTTCTTTGTTTTATGGTGCTGGGAATTGAAGTTAGGGTTTCTCGTGTGTTAAGCATGTACTGTGATACTTAACTACACTCCCTGCTCTGCTCATAATTTTATTATTGTCTAAAGTAGAAATGAAGGAAGGCTTATTATAACAAGTTAGCAATAATTGGAT